CTATATCAGTAGATTGAAGATTAGAGCAGCTTTAAAAGGCATAAGAGAGATAGTGACAGAAACAGAATCGACCACTGGATGTTAAGGTATTTGGGAAGCTCAGGTGGGAGGGCAAAATCCCCTGGTGAATTTTAAAGTCAGGCTGTGTAGCTGCTGGGATCACACAGCCCTCCTCTGATGCATGCTTCTGAGCACGTAACGCTCCTAGGGAATCATGACCGCGAGAAATAGCTATAACAGTGCTGCATGCCTGAATGAACAGCTGCCTTTGGCTTTCTGAGGGCTCCTCAGAGGCAGAGAAACACTAAGGAGAGAAGACATTTTAAGAGACGTCTAAGCTAGAAATTGAATACAGAGAAGGTGGGTGGAGGGGAAGCCTGGAATATAAACCCAGATGGATCTGCATTTCTGAGAGCTCAGGAGAGGAGATGATGACCCAGGCAAGGAACTGCCTTTCACTTGGAAGCTTTTGCATGTTGTGTTTTGAGGGTGACGTTTCCCATGGTTTTCCCACAGCAAAGGGAACGTTTCCTGTGGGGGAAATGGTATAAGACATCCCCTGATGCCTTAGAAACAAGGAAGATGGCCATTTTTCAGATGTCTTTTCAATACACTGAACTTTAAATGCCCCCTGGATTTATTGGTGAATGAGAAAAAGTACTGTTTGGGATATGGAGGTCCCAAGAAATCTGATCTGCCAGTAAACGCTGGAATGATGGACATTTGCTAAAGGGAAGCAGAACAGAGGTTGGCAATTCATCATTTCCATCCCTACATGAAATGTTGATTTCCACCCGGCTTGGCTGGGGAGCTACTCATACCATCGTAGATGGGGGCAAACACACCCACCAATCTCACCACCAACACTGCCCCCACCTCCTCCATCACCATCAACATCGCTGTGATGCTAGCAACTAACTTTTACCCAGTACTTGTTGGCTTAAAGGGAACCTTCTTGTATAAACATATTATTCAATAATGACTTCATGCTCTTCTAGGCTTGCTACATGATTGATAGTGTAGTTTTGAACTGCATTTTTAAGTAAGTTAGAGCAAAGCGTTTAAGCCTCTAAACAAGTTTGAAAAGTTACGTATATCTCAATGCTGCAGTTGTCAAGATCCCTGCCATTTTCTAGGAAGATTAAACATCTAGAAACATATTAGACTTTATTTTTTATTGTCTGACGTGTGCAGAGCAGGGTCATTTACCACTGGAACTATTTCAACACAAACACACCAAAATGAAAAACCTTTTTTTTTTTTTTTTTTTTTTTTTTTTTGCGGTACGCGGGCCTCTCACTGTTGTGGCCTCTCCCGTTGCGGAGCATAGGCTCCGGATGCGCAGGCTCAGTGGCCGTGGTTCACGGGCCCGGCCGCTCCGTGGCACGTGGGATCTTCCCGGACCGGGGCACGAACCCGCGTCCCCTGCATCAGCAGGCGGACTCTCAACCACTGCACCACCAGGGAAGCCCTGAAAAACCTTTTGAATGATTCTACCGGCCAAGAGAGTTAAAGAGAAAAGATCAACTTAATAACAGTGCAGTCGATTTCACAATTATTCTTGTAATTATAGTCTCACTTTGTTAGCCCTACCTGCTGGTGATGTGGCTACCTAGGGTGATAATAATTGAAAAACGAAGGGGTCAGGTGAATTTCGAGTCACCACTGCTCTGGAGTAATCAGTACAAATTAGATTCTCCACTGAATATCTCGACTCTAGGGACTTGGCACTCAGATTCATAAGCTTCTTTGTTCATGCTCATCTACAAGAGGGGACAACACTTATGGGGAAAAAAGAACCAGAGAACAAGAATCAGAAGGTACGTCCTATGTTGGACTTCCCTGGCGGTTCAGTGCTTAAGACTCTGCACTTCCAGTGCAGGGGGTGCGGGTTCAATCCCTGGTCAGGGAACTAAGCTCCCACATGCTGTGGGGCACAGCCAAAAAAAAGAAGAAGATATGTCCTACGCCATGAGTTCAGTTCTCCATTCAGCGGACGTTTCAGGCACGAGGGTGAGGCGTTCCCTGGTGGAGTGTGTACGTGGAGGCAGAGTGCTGAGCTGGGCTGGGTACCACGAGCATCTGTTTATGAAGCTTTCCTTTCTGCAGCTGGGGAGAGTTACCATGGAAACCATGGCCTCTGGGGTAAATACAGCTACCACGAGAAAAATTTATCTTAGACATCCTGGGTCCAGAAAACATGTCAATAAATCATCCAATTTATCTATTCTGTTTCCCTGCAGGTCTACACCTAAATAATATCAGAGAGACTTACCACACACTTTTAAGATTCTTCTGAATAAGAGGGTCTCAGTGTCTGTTTAGGATTGCACCCTTGTACTGCAGTTTTATGAATGCCCTAATCTGACCCTGTTCTGTTGAAGTCCCTATGGTCTGTTTTCAGGAGGGGCCCATCTCTACATCCATGTGGCAAAGAAGGGTGTGGAATCGCTGGTTAGAGATCCTGATGGTTCTGGCAGCTCTGCCTTCAAGGCATAACCCCCGCCGCCCTGCCCCCCATCAATAATGCCAAATCGTATCCAGGAGCAAACCGGGGCAGGAGGGAGGTGTGGGGGGATCCTGGAGGGGACGATGAATGTGGACATCGAGCCCCACCCCAAGGAGAGTGGTACAGAGTAAGAGGAGAGTTGAGTCGAGGCTGGCCACGAGGCAGGCTGGCCCGGGCGCGCTGGGGGGCAATGACACCAATTTTGGCCTCCACAGAGTCCCAGCTGATGAGCCAATGGGTGCGATTGGGGGAGTGAAGGACGAAGGGCATGAAAGATCAATGCCTCCCTAGGGAAACTGAGGCCAGTGGTTCTGATTAATCTCCCTGGGAGTTTGTCATGGCCAGAGAGTGGTTTCATGTCAAGAGGGGAAGACACCCACAGCAGTTCTGTGGGTCTCCCTGAAATCCTCTCTTCCTCTGCTTCTCTCCCGTCCCCTCCCCTTCCCTCCCTTCCTTTTCTTATCATCTTTCTCTTCCCCATCCTCATGGGCAAAGCTTGGCCACCATCTTGGGTTATGCCAACGAAGAAGAAATCTACGGTGACCTCGTCCTCTAATTTGAGAAAATATCACGAACTGGGCAAGTGAGAAGGGGTAGGGAAGGAAAGACAGAAGAAAAAATTTGTGCAGAGAACATTTTCTCTTAGCTATTCCAGGAATAAGATGCTCTGTTTTTATACCTCCAGCTTCATCTCCTCATGGCCAATCCCTGGGAATCTTCGCTATCAAGCTCTCAAGTCCTGCCGAGCTGCCAAGCACAGCTGAAGCCTGATGTCCCAGCCCTCTGCCCTGTCCCAGGTCCTGTCACGAACTCTGCAGAGGGACCGTGCACAGCCAAGCTCACCTGTCATGGTGTCTTTCCTGGAAGTGTGTTCTCCTTTAGTTCCGTGGTAAGTGGCGTTGCTGCCAGTGGACTCATAGTCTGTTTTTCTTTCTTTGAGGCTGATCATTTCCCGAGGTGAAGCTGGGGCACTTGCTACATAAAGAAATCGGAAGGATGACTTTCTGTGTCTCATTCCACAGCACGTATAGCTTTTCACACAAACAGGTAAAGTCATAAATGCACCTGGCTCAACACAGGTCAGTATGTGTACGTGGAACTGTTGATTTTTATTTTTGTTCTTTTGGTTCTTGTCTTTCCCCCTTCCCTTACTCCGTGTCACTTGGTGCTTTAGAGTTAAGGGGACACGCAACTCGAAGGCAGGGAGTTAAGGACTATATCCTGGGAGCATCTTCCCTACAGAGACATCCTCATGGGGATGTGACCTGCTCAAGGACAGTTTCAAGAATGAGATCCGTCTTGGTTGCTTTTTCTTTCTTTTTTCTTTTCCTTTATTTCCCCCTCCCTCCTTTCTTTTCTTCTTCCTTCCTTCCTTTGAAAAAATTAGATGTGTTTCAGAGGAGCGATTACTGATACTGAAGAATCCCTGATTAAATCAGATGTGCTTTTACTTAAACACGTTTCACACAGAAACGGCCCTAAAGGAAGACAGAGGATGATGTGGGGGACCAGTAGAGCCCCACCCACCGAGGTCTTCTCCATCAGCCTGGGGACTGGGCTGCGGGTGTGGCGTGAGAGCACCTGTCTCCTGATGGGGGTCCTTGCTCCATCTCAAACGCCCCTAACAATCTCCCACACACACCTTGCGCCCCGGTCCCTCGCTGCCTGTTGGACCTGGGGACTGAGCCCTGTCAACCGTTTGTGTCTTCATGTCTTCAGTGATGGGCTGTGATTAGAGGATTCCCTTAGGAATTCCATGATTCTTTAACAAACTGGGCCCAGAACAGAGGAAAACCTGAACTTGGACTTAAAGGAAGCAAACAAAAAGAGGTTTAGTTTTCTTTAAAGATCGGATGGATTGCGAGCAACTAAGCCGCCCTGCCAGTGCAGAGATGTGCTGGGAGAAGTGGAGGTTAAGTGTGTGTGCCGGTGCTAAGGCAGCTACTGTGCGCCCATCCTATGGGCTGACCTCACATTGGTCTCCACACTCCTCAATGAGGCCACTCGCATCCCAAGCTTAGTCAATTGCACCTCATCCATTCTGAGTGCAGCCGTGCTACTCTTTGGTCCCAGAGCCTTCTCCAGCTTCCATGCCCGAGGGCAGTGCTTCATAAGCTTGTTTAACCTTAAGACTCACCTGAGAACCTGGGGATCACAAAACCCGACCCTGGACCTTGTGAATCTGAATTTTCAGTTGGGCCTAGGAATCCAAATTTAGCAAGCATGCCTGGTGAATCTCTGGGGAACTCCGAGTTTTAGGATAAAGCTCATTTTCCTTCACTAGTGTCCAAGCCCCTCCCCACTCAAGCCTCAGTTTACCTTTCAGCTGTTTGTTCACACCCTCTGCAGGGTCCCCCAGCTCCAGCCCACTGGACCTGCTTGTTGCCTATCTGAGTCACTTGATTCATTTCACCAAACTTAGTATCTTCTATGTACAAAGCCCCGTGCTAGACATGGGGGACAAAAACATGAGTCACAGCACACTTTCTGAAGTTGAGGAGCTCTTCATCGGGTGAGGAAGTGAAACCAGAAGATGGCTCAGTGGATGTCTTAGCCAAGCGCTGGGAAGGTAACAAAGGGGGCCTTTGCCCATCCTTTCCTGAAAGGCCCCCTACCCACCTCTCAGACCTGTCAAATAAAATCAAGGCTCACTGCTGAGATCTTGAAACCCTCAGAGATTTCCAATCCTAGCTGCCCATCAGAATTAGTTACCTAGAATACTTAAAAATACATTGATGCTTGAACATGCCCCCCAGCCAGTTGCACCAGAATCTCTGGGTGTAAATCCAATGGGAAGGCAGGGAAGAAACCTGCAATTGTTCCACGTAACTCAACTGGGCTCTGGGTCCAGTTCCTGCGTGTTCTCAGAACACGGGCTGCTGCGTCTCACTCACCCCCTCCACCTCTGCCCCATCTCCTCTCTTCTCTCTCCATCTTCCTCTCTGGGGAGAGTCCTCTCCTGCCCTTGCTCCTAGATCTTCTGCATAAAGATTGGCCTTTTATGAGTCACTGCCAGGCAATCGTGAACGGACAATATTTTGGAGCCTCTTGACCAAAGCTTTTAAAATGAGAATCCGATATTGCACAGATGGTGGGGTTTACTAAACTATGTCAAGTGTGTAATTATCTCCTGAGACCTCACACACAGTGGTCCGAGTCTCCAGTAAACCAGGAGGACACTCCTGGAAAAACCACATCTCCCCAACAAGCGTTTATTAGGTATCTTCGAAGTGCCTTGCCTGGGTACCACCAGGCAGTGCCCCACCTGCATCCCTGGGATGCTGACATCCTGTAAGGCACTGCTTCTCTTTCTGGGCGCCTTCCAATCTATTATATTATTCCATCTTCCTGACACTGATTGGTTCTTCATAATTAGAGCTCTTAAAGACACTGTCCTTTAGCTCCCAAGACTCACTGCTCTTTATCTTTTTAAGAACTATGAAAATAACATGTGTAAAAGGCCACCTCCATGCCTCTGAGGCAGGTGGAAGTTCCTCCAGTTACACGGGGCTTCCTAATTCTCGTTCAGCGTGGGGCTAAACATTAGAAGCGATAACACCGCACTAAAAATATAAGTTTTCACGGGGCTGGGAGAGGGTAATCTATTTCAGTCAAATATTCCCCATTCATCTCTGATTCTCCCCATCGTTATGACAGTAAAGTATGGTGTAAAGTTTCATGACAAACATCCTCAAGGGCAGAGGGGCCACCCTGCTGGGGAGTGCTCTGTACCATGCCCTTGAGACTCAGTTCCAGAAAATATAGTTTCCTCAGCAGGAGGAGGGCAGCGAAGAGCAAGGAGAAACTTTTCTTAAATAAAAGCCTCTATCTCTGCGTGTGTGTGTTCGCCCATATAAAATTATTTATTACACATTGAATAAAACAACAATAAAATCTATATCACTTATATACTAAACAGTGTGCTCATATTTTGCCTTTAATTATGTCCTTAATCCTTGGCATTACATAATGTGACTGAAAAAGGGTGTAAAAATAAGGTATCTTTACAAGGAGGTAAGAAAAGTTAGTTCCAAATTTAATAAGAATGAGACGGGGGAGGGGCAATATAGCAGTAGGGGATTAGGAAGTATAAACTATTATGTATAAAATAAGCTACAAGGATATACTGTGCAGCACAGGGAACACAGCTGATCTTGTACAGTAACTATAAATGGAGTATAACCTTTAAAAATTGTGAATCACTGTATTGTACACCTGTAACTTACATAATATTGTACATCAACTATACTTTGATAAAAAAATTAAAAAGAAAGAATGAAATAAAATTAGAAAAAATTAAATTGAATGGTTTAAAAGTTACTGTTGATTGTAATATGAATATATGAAATGATTTATCTGCTGGTTTATAGGTAATAATGAAAAGCAAATCAGGTATGGAACAGTAACGAAAGCCTCAATGACAGTTTTCAAACGTAGGTCATTCTCAAGGAGGAAGGAGCACACCCTCTCTCCCCTACTCTGTCATCCCAAATCTAATCAATAAAATGCAACCTAAACTATCTTAAGTGGGTAGAACGTCCATGGAAAACCCTGATTTGCAAACACTTGGCGGTTTTATACATTCCTATTCCTCCCTGAATGCTGGCCCAGGATGTGCATTTCATGCCTGTGACACCTGTTAGAGGTTTTTAGAAACCTGTTAGAAAGATGTTTGTTCTGAGTCTGTGTATGTATGATACAAAGTCACCACCACTGTAAAAAGAAAACAGATTCATTTGATATTTCTAGCAAGTGTCCCAGTCGGGATGACCCTCCTGTCTGTGGGGTCAGCTAAGGGGTCGGGGCGGGGGGCCTTGGATCCAAGAGAAGCAGCCACTGGCCCAGGGTCCCTCTTACCTGAGCGGTTGTTGGGAGACACGCGCACAGGGGAGATGGAGGGCGTGCGAGAGGAGGAGTAGGGTCTTTGCCGATCCCTCTCGATGGTTGAAGATGAGGCTACGAAGTGATACTGTGACCATCCATCCTGCAATAGACAGCAGCTCCTATTAACTGGGGAAGGCAGAGAGATGCCTCACTTCCTCACACTTGGACGTGCCAAGCATTGGAATTTGCAAAGCATTTCTCCAGTCTGTCAGGAGAGGTCTCAGATCTCTGCGCCTCCATCGTCCAGGTTAACAGAGAGGAGCGATAAGTGAGACCCACCTCCTGCCCCCTCCAGACAGCCTGACTCGGGGAGGGCCTGCCCTCGGTGCTTGCTTTCCGCCCCAGATGTGAGATAAATGGTCTCTTTGCAAACCTGCTTTGGCCTGAAGATTGTATTTAAATGAAAACTTGCTGCTCAGAATGAGCCTGAAACTGTCTATTTTTTGCCTGCCTGGCTCCAGCTCTGTCCAGTCCTCTTTTCAACCACCTCCAAGTTTTCCAAAGTGTTTACTCTTCTTTTCTTGGGACCAATCTGTTAGTGATCAGAATGCCAAGAAGCATCATCCCTTCCCTTCGTCCCTTCCCGTTCATCTCCCTTACATGGTTTCAAGGTCCTTCTCTGCCTCAAATGCCCCGTCCCCACTAGCTCAAGGCCTTCAGCATGACTGTTGCCAAGTATTCACACTCAGGTTGCTACGTTCTCTGATTTGCCCCAGGAATTCTATTTTTCAATGTAGAGCATATTCAAAATGCCTCCTACCAATCAATCCGCCATTCGCCTTCTAATATCTGGTTAATACAGGAAAAGCATGTATACCATTTTTCATCATGAAAACCATATAAATACATTATGGGTCATTTTTTGAATTTAGAAAGCATAAAGAAGAAAATAAAAATAGCCAACAATTCCTCTCTCCTCCTCCCCAGAGAACTTCTGTTGAGATGTCACAGTATTTCCTTTCAGTCTTTTTTCTTCTTTAATTCAAGTTTAGTTTTTTCAAAGCAAGATGTCAAAGAGTACTGACATTATCAAGGAAAAGCAGACACCTGCTGCACTCCCAGTTCCTGCTTCACAGAGGAACCATTTTTAACTCTTTCGGTTTTTTCTTTTTTGACCTTTACAAGGGACTCAATTCTCTACAAAGAATCATTGCAAACATAAATGGACGAAAGTTAACAAAGAACAGAATTTAAACTCATTTCAATATTTGTGTCTTTCTTTGTGTAATTCTCATTATTGCTGTTCTATTTGACCCGTACAATAAAGCCAAAATTAGAAGTATGCTATTATAAAAGCTACTACCTAGTGCTTATTAAGTATTTACTCCAAGGCAAGATTTTCTCAACAATCCCATGGGCTGGATACTATTATTAGCTCCATTTTACAGAGGAAGAATCTGAGCCTTAGAAAGTTAACGGGCCACCCAAAGTCAAGCAGTAAACAAGTGAAGACTCATGTTAACTACTGAAATATGGCATATTGAAAAGATGAAAACTCTAATTTGAAAAGATACATGCACCCCAACATTCATAGCAGCACTATTTACAATAGCCAGGACATGGAAGCAACCTAAATGCCCATCGACAGATGAATGGATAAAGAAGATGTGGTATATATATATATATATATATATATATATATATATATATATATACATACATATACACACACACACATATACATACAATGGAATACTAATCAGCTATAAAAAAGAAGGAAATAGTGCCATTTGCAGCAACATGGATGGAACTAGAGATGATTCTCATACTAAGTAAAGTAAGTCAGACAGAGAAAGACAAATACCATATGATATCACTTATATGTGGAATCTTAAAAAAATGATACAAGTGAAGTTATTTACAAAACAGAAAAGACTCACAGATATAGAAAACAAACTTAACGGTTACCAAAGGGGAAGGGGGGAGGGATAAATTAGGAGTTTGGGATTAACAGATACACACTACTGTTTATAAAACAGATAAACAACAAGGACCTACTGTAGAGCACAGGGAACTATATTCAATATCTTATAATAACCTATAAGTGAAAATAATCTGAAAAAGAATCTATCTATCTATCTATATCTATATCTATATCTATATATAACTGAATCATTTTGCTGTACACCTGAGACATTGTAAATCAACTACACTTCAATAAAAACATGTGGCATATTGATAAGTCCTTGGAAGCAAGCTGAGGGGATTGAGGAATGCAGGTGAGGAGATGCTATTTGAGGGCGTGTGGTCGGGCAAGTGCTCTGGGAGCAGTTAACGTTGCAGCAGAGGCCTGGCAGATGACGAGAAGCCAGACACTGAAGACACAGGTTGGGGTTTCCGAGCCAAGGGAAGAGCAGAAGTGAAGAGCCTGGGGTGGGAAAGCGCTTGGCTGATGTGAGCACAGCAGAAAGTTTCTGTGACTGAAGGGGAGCCAGGAAGACAAGAAGCCTTCTGAGCGTCTGGGACAGTCTGGGGAGAGTAGAACAGAGACTAGTTAACGAGCTATTCCACTAGAGGGAGGGAGAGATGACCCTGGCTTGGCTGTGGGCTGGTGGTGAGCAAGGCGCAGATTTTGCATCTAAGTTGGATTTGCTGATGACTCGGCTACTGGGTGTGGGAGAGAGGAATCAAGCCTGACCCGGATGTTGCTGGTGTGAACAACGTGGGGCTGGAGATGTCACTTACTGAGACAGGGGACCACTGGAAGAGGAGTGGCTTTAGGAAGTGAGATCAGTGCTGCCATCTGGGATGTGCTGGGTTAGAGATGCCTGCTGGACATGAAAGAAAAGAGAATAAAGCAGAACCTGAAACCTGGAATTTCAGGAGTGACGTCAGACTTAGAGGTAAACTTTTGCAGTTCAGTATACAGATATCATTTGAAGATAAGAGAATAGATGGAAGCCTTGCACGTGAATGCAAATAGAGGAAAGCAGAGGACACAGGGCTGGGACGCTCCAATACTTAGAGGGCACATAGAGCAAGGAGAAAATTCCCAGGATGCTGAGAACGAGCAGAGTGAGCTGGGAGCAGAACCAGAAGGGTGTGCTGTCAGGCAAGACCAGGAAAGAAGATGCAGAGAGAAGGAGACCAGCTGAATAACAAGGAGGACCAAGCACAGTCCTTTGGCCCTGGGAAGATGGAAGTCAGCGTGACTGGAACAAAAGTACTTTCTTTGGTCTGGTTGGTAAATCTCTAACTCAGGTAGGCTCAAAAGAGAGTGAGAACTGATGGAAAAATGGTGAGTTCAGACAGCCTTTGGCAAAAGCTGATTATTAAGGGGAGCCCAGAAATGGGGCTTCAAGAGCTAGAGCGACTAAGAGAAGTTTTAATATATCACCTGGAAAAGATTGCGGCATTTCACATCCTGATGGGAATGACTCGACATAGAGGAAGAAAAACTGGGGACGCAGGAGAGAGAGGGAAACATTTCTTAAGAAAGGAGGGATTGACGGGATTCAGTGAGCTGTGGGGTCAAGGGCCATGGAATCAGGAGAGAAAACAGACAGGCTGCACAGCCACAGACGCGGCAGGGAGATGGGCTGATCTGGTGATGGGACGATGAGGATGTCCTTTTCTGTTTTCTGACATTTTCTGGAGGGGACGTGGGGATGAGAAGGGAGGTCATGCATCCACTGAGAGTGAGAAGGAGTTGGAGTTTAGAGGATGGAAGAGGCGAGGGGAAGGGAGGGAAGAGGAAAGAAGAGAGCAAGAAGAGAAGCGTGAGACAGTTCTTGAGGTAGGAGGGGTGCAGGCTGACCGTGGCCATGTAGCCTGGTGGCCAGGAGCTGAGAGGTGACTTGAGGTTCATGGCAATGAATTCAAAAGGAGAAGACTCATCCCCACGGTGGCTTGTTTTCCTCCAGCCACATTCAGCTGCCCTGGGGCAGGTGTGAGTAGATGGAATCGGATGGGGCTGGTCAGAAAAGTGACTTGGAAGGAGACAGAGACAAGGGGATGCAAAGGGCATGTCATGGAAGCCCACAGAATCTAGGCTGGGTGGAGAGGAAAGTGAAGATTGAGGGAGGAGGTGGGGAACGAACACTAGGCAGTGGACTGAGGATCTGAAGAGGGTCAGAGACTATTGGAATGGGGACATTTCACAGATGCTGGGGGTTCCCTTGAGGGAGGAGGGAGAACTTCCCAGAAAGAGCAAAAGAGGAGCAAGGGAGATACCTAGTCCACCTCCAAGCCTAGTGACGTCAGGCAGAGGGGATGGGACATGACAAGCCACCACGTGAGAGGGCTGCCGGGGGCTGGGGTGTGTCCTTGGGGACAGCCGGTTCACAGCAAGAAGACTGAAAAAAGAAGCGGTGGGTATTGGATGCAGGGGGTCTTACTGACAGTAGCCTGTGGGTTCAAGGGGGAAAGGAGGAAAGGTGGGTAGGAGAAAGGGAGAAAGGGGGGAATACTGGGGCAGATTACTGGTTATTTAGAGCCTTTGAGTGAGAAGAGTCCCGAAATGATGGCTTACCCAGGAGTCCTGGGCAGTTGGTGGTGACCGAGGCAAGGAGGGTCTAAGGGCAAATAGCTGAAACCTCTTCCAGGAAGGGTGGGAGCCGTGGTAACAGGCAGGTGTCAGGGCAGGAGGAGAAAATGTACTGTCTCTGCAGGAATTCTGGGCATTTCCCTTAAACCCTCCAGAGGATGGCAGCATGCACAGGGCAGAAGCAGTCTTACAAAAGCCTGTAAAGTATTTCAGAGGTGAATGGACCCATTACTCACATAAGGGAACAATTAAAACATTTATTTGTTTTAAGAAGATGTTCCTTTCTTGTGAAGGGAATGCTTTGTGGACAGCAAAAATCCTTAAACAGGACCAAACAGAGGCAGATAATTTTACGTTTGTCTCACTTGCAATTTAGAAGATATTCTTTGCAGGGGGGGCAGGGTTCCAAGGAGTGGTTCAGGAAATTGCTTTAATCAAACCCTTGGCTTCTTTGGTCATGAATAAGTCATGATACTCCATATGTTATGAAAGGTGAGCAAGGTATTTCATAATAAGAATATGGGCTATATCTGATATGTCCTAAGACCAAAGGAGACACCAGACATAAAGGTGGTATAACTCTAGGTCTGGTTTTACTTGGCAAGTAGCGCTGT